GAGTTCCCAGAAGTTACCTACTACAGGACAGGCCTAACAAAGAAAATAACAGAACGCCACTAGCGGTCACCTTCAGCCCCCAACTAAAACCCCTCCAACGCATTATTAAGGATCTACAACCTATCCTAAAGGATGACCCAACACTCTCACAAGTCTTGGGAGACAGGCCAGTCCTTGCCTACAGACAGCCCCGCAACCTGAAGCAAATACTCACCAACAACCACATACCACACAACAGAACCACTAACCCAGGAACCTATCCTTGCAACAAAGCCCGTTGCCAATTGTGCCCACATATCTATTCAGGGGACACCATCACAGGGCCTAATAACATCAGCCACACTATCAGAGGCTCATTCACCTGCACATCAACCAATGTGATATATGCCATCATGTGCCAGCAATTCCCCTCTGCCATGTACATTGGTCAAACTGGACAGTCTCTACGTAAAAGAATAAATGAACACAAATCAGATGTCAAGAATTATAACATTCATAACCAGTCGGAGAACACTTCAATCTCTCTGGTCACGCAATCACAGACATGAAGGTCGCTATCTTAAAACAAAAAAACTTCAAATCCAGACTCCAGCGAGAAACTGCTGAATTGGAATTCATTTGCAAATTGGATACTATTAATTTAGGCTTAAATAGAGACTGGGAGTGGCTAAGTCATTATGCAAGGTAGCCTGTTTCCTCTTGTTTTTTCCTAACCCCCCCCCCCCCAGATGTTCTGGTTTAACTTGGATTTAAACTTGGAGAGTGGTCAGTTTGGATGAGCTATTACCAGCAGGAGAGTGAGTTTGTGTGTGTATGGGGGTGGGGGGGATGTGAGAAAACCTGGATTTGTGCAGGAAATAGCCCGACTTGATTATGTAAAGAGTTGTCACTTTGGATGGGCTAGCACCAGCAGGAGAGTGAATTTGTGTGGGGGGGTGGAGGGTGAGAAAACCTGGATTTGTGCTGGAAATGGCCCACCTGATGATCACTTTAGATAAGCTATTACCAGCAGGACAGTGGGGTGGGAGGAGGTATTGTTTCATATTCTCTGTGTATATATAAAGTCTGCTGCAGTTTCCACGGTATGCATCCGATGAAGTGAGCTGTAGCTCACGAAAGCTCATGCTCAAATAAATTGGTTAGTCTCTAAGGTGCCACAAGTACTCCTTTTCTTTTTGCGAATACAGACTAACACGGCTGTTACTCTGAAACCAACAAAGTTGAAGATGTTTAGCTTGCATAGAGTACGCTACCCCTGTAAATCTCAAAACACTTTACAAAGGTTGTTAACTATTATTATCCCCAGCTGACCTAAAATGTCCCTCACAAAAATTCAGCTTTGATGTCTAACCCCGAAAACCCTTCTTTGAGGCATTCCATGCCTTAGGAGGAAAAGGATGATCAAATAAGATCTGGCTTTCAATCATTATGTGACACAGCAGTATCATGTCTGATCCCTTCAGTCAGATTTTTTTTTCATATAATTATTTCCAGGGAAGAGAAAAATCTGTTATTTCTTTGTATCACTAGTGCCAGAAGCAGGAGCGTTTTGAGCCATCCACTATTAATACAGGGATCTAAGGAATATGGAAGAATGGAAAGTAAATCAAATAGATCAAGGTAGCCAAATGGCATAATTTCAGATGAATATAGGATCCTACTATACTGATTACAGTCAGACTATGGCTGTTGTACAGCCCTCCACATGACTCTTACAGTCTGGCATTTTTACTGTCTGGGATTTATAAAAGTGAAAATCTAGTCATTTCAACATCAAGGCTAAATTTTCAAAACTAGACAACTCCTGCACCTGTAAAAATTGTATTTGTATGTACAAATATTCACAGCAGCTATGGTAGACTACAATCTATTTCATAGCATAATGATAAACTCCCTATGAGCCAATCACAAGCTAAAATGACCAGCACTGTATAATCCCCACTGAAATTTGTACATCCACATTTGAGTAACTGCATGTGCAAACAGATACTCATATGTGCCTGTATGTGTAGCCACTGGTCAGTGAGCATTATACATTCCCCTCTACATTTAATCCACAGACAATGTGAGGTCCCAACTATGGTTCTTTAGCACAAGGTGTAGTGATTCCTGCTTTTAGTGGTCTGTCCCTGGTTCACACCATGATGCTGGCCAAAATGGCAGCCATCGCAAGTGAATAAAGGGTCTGGTTGTGAGACCGCAGCAGCATGTACCTCCATGTTTTTGCATATGTATCTGTTGTGGCCAGTACTACATATATGGCCTTTTGAAAAGAAACTTTTATCAAGTCTAGTGACATCAAATATAAACCAAGTTTTAAAGTTTCAAAATGGCATTTTCATATATGTTGGCCTCTTCCCCTTCAAATGATAACAAAAGTGTTTTCACTGCTGGGTGCCTAAAGGATTTGTTGGCTGGAAAGATTACAGAAACAACATATCTGTCTACTCCCCTCCACGTCTCTCTGCTGTGTTCCTGGACCTGATTCAGCAAGCTACATAAGCATGAGTAGCCCCATTAAAGTAAATAGCTTACTCAAGTTCTTTAGGTTCGCTATATACTTAAGTAACTTGCTGAACTGGGAGCCCTTTGAGGCAGCAGTGTATTGAAATTTACAGGAATCTTGCTCTCTGAAAACCTAATGGAGAATTCCAGTGTGTTGGGACCATAAGACAACTAGAATAAGAATGAAGAAAAATGTCCTGCACATGTACACCTCGTGATCCAGACCAAAACTCTGGTTATCCTTACACTAGTTTCAGGGTTTGTCCCGATATGCCTGTTAGTTTTACAAAACACATTTAGTCCTGGTTTATCTAGCCCCTGTAAATTGGATACGTGAAGAAGGGGCTGTCCAGGCGAGCACTAATAATGACAGCAAACTGAGTGAACAAACTTGCATTTCAAAGCCTTCCTTTCTATAAGGCTTGCCACCTTTTTACCTAGTCTTATCCTTCCACAAAGCCTTCCAATGAGCCCCACTCTGTATAAGAGGGTCTCCAAGAAAGCCCTCCTTCACATCTTGTTTTGATGTCAAATTTACAGCGCAGCAAGGAACAGTGAGGAAATTTACCATAGTAGGGAAGGGTAGGCAAACTCTCCCCCACTTTTCTCTCCCAGTCTCCTTTACAAGAAGACTTTAACACCACCTTGAGCTTTCCCTGCCGGTGCACTCGTTGAGATAACTGTCCTTATTTTTTGTTTTGAAAATAATGTAGTCATCCTTAACAAGATCAGGTCTCCAGTGTGATCTGTTGTGTTGACCATTTTAAACAACAAGCATCTCTAAACAGTCATGAACCACAATATCTGGATAGGTTCCCCCCACCCAACCCCCAATGTGCTACATTTTTTTGTTTTAAGCTAACTTGAGAACATCAGAGGTTTATCTTTTAGCAATGTACAGCATTGCACTCAGATGTTCCAATATTGCTCTCACAACACTGTAAAACAGGGAGCAGCTCCACTGACTCAGTGGAGTCACTCTAATATAAAATTGGCATGAGAAGCTAAAGCCCTGAGTATCTATAGTAATAAAGCCGAGACTGACAGAACTGATCTGGCCAGAAAACTCACTTTTACAAAAAAGAAAAAAAAAAATCTTGCAAGCCTTGGGAAACCTTAATTATATTTCAGCCCCCCACTGGCTTCTCCTAGAATAGATTTTCTATTAGTCATGGGATTTAAGGCATGTGGCATGTCAAGGGTGGGGATGGTCCTGCCACATGAGAAATGTCATAAGGCTACAGCATGCAAGAGCAGCCTCTGATTCATTTAGGCCTGGTCTACACTAGAAAATTAGGTCAGCATAACCACATCACTCAGGGGTATGAAACATCCACACTCCCAAGCAGCACAGTCAAGGCGACCCAAGTCCCCAGGAACATAGTGTTAGATTGATGGAAGCAATTTTCAGTTGATCTAGTTACTGCCTCTCAGGGAAATGGATTACCTATGCCCATGGGAAAATCCCTCTTATAAGCATACCTAGTGTCTACACTGAAGGGCTACAGTAGCAGCGCTGTAGTATTTTAAGTATGGAAAAGTCCTTAGAGACTAGCATAATCTCTAGTTCTTATGTTCTTTGAAGCAACTTAGAGACCTGCTAGTTCACATTATTTAAAAGGAAGTTAGATATGCTGCCCCCTTCCCTCCCATGTGTGAAGGAGATAAATGAAGGAACAGTAAGCAGTAAAGAACATGTTTTCTTAATTGTACTGTAACCTGCCTTTCTACTGGGGCCCTTGCCACTGCACTCCACATGAAGCAGATGCCATATGATTTGCTATAATGTACAGATGCATTTTTATTCACAAATGGTACACACATAGCTGCACATATATGGCACGTGTATTTGATTTTGTATGTGCTACAGTACCAGCTGCAACCAGAGTTTTGAGATGATCTCCTGAGAGGGGAGGACAGAAAGGGGAGTGTTCTTGTCTATACTAGAGAATGTTGATGTTGGAACATACTTTACATGCCCACCCACACGACTGTTGCCAGTGATGTACAGGCAGTTGCAACTGTAATGAGCATGGCAGCGTAAGACTAACCACTGTGTTATGCACCAGTCTTATTGGTTCACTTGCTGTCTAGACTAGCCACTGCTCTACCAGCTCAATTGGTCCTCCGACTGCTATCTCACAACAGCAGCCCACCCTTAAGAGACCTGTCAAGCTCACTTGAACTGTTATAACACAGTTTCAAAAGAAGCAGGGACTGTCCTCTGCAGTTTTCTAGCTTTGCTTCCTTCTCACCCTGGATCCCCTCAATAATGAACAAGATATCTAAACAGGCAAAAAAAAAAATTGTTAATTGTAACTCCCAAAAAAAAAAGGGCTTTCATTTTGTGATCAATGGAATAAAGTACTACATCTTCACCATTTTTAGGAAGGTCCTGTTACATTTTTAATCAACATTTTATAACACAACAGGTTTATATTAATACTGCATTACTGAATGTTTTTAAAAAAATGCATCTTCCTTTTATCCTTGTTCAAAGAAAAAATGAGGGAAAGAAAGAGAGTTAGAAAGTATATATATTTAAAACTCTCAAACCAGGCCTGCTCCCAAGAGGTGCTGCCAGCCTCAGGTATTTACTTTGCTATGGCCTCATCTGTGTAGTTGGCGGAGAAGTATCTCTGGGACACCAGAGACCTGAAAGAGAGAAAGAAAAGAAGAAGAAAAAGAAAAAAAAAGTAGTGAGATGTGTAATGGGCCAGCAAGGTTGTCTAACACAACCACCTGGTTAGCAGGGAGGGAAATGGCTAAGAAGAAGGGTTCATTCAATGAGCTAGACCCCAGTCTTCAGTGTGCTTTGGGAGGGTTAGCCATTGTGCCTAATGGCAACCCACTGACTTCAAGGGGACTTGTGACAGCCCATGTGGAACTCATTGCATGATGGGGACTCACTGCTGCTTGTTAAGCCACCTGATGACAGGTTGGAGACAGCTGCAGACAGCTCAGGGCTAGAGGGACTGAGAGTATGGAATAGGCAAGGTGGGGGCACAGACTCTGAATAAATACAAACCTGAGGAGAAGACAAAGGCTTATGCTGGGAGGATTTCTTCTATGGTTGATATTAAAACCAGAGCCAAGAGAGGTGACAATTGTTTGGAGAGGGGTTGAACAAACAGCCCTGGGTTGCAGAAAGTCTAGTGAGATAACTGCACATTTATTCATGGTATTATTCTCTAGCTACCCACCCTCCCCGTGGAACTTTAACTTACCACCTGATGGCTCTCCAGCCACCATTCATCTTCTCCTATCCCCCCAGCTGCACGGTAGAGTCCACAAGGGCACCACTGCCACAGATGGGGTAGGGGTGAGAGGGGGAACTGACTCCGGGTCCAGGAATCCCCCAGAGGGACCTGCTCAGCCCGCACCCTGGCCCACAGGATACCCGTCTCTGGATCCTAGGGAACAAATGTAAGAGAGAAAGAAAGCGCTAGTACAACTGGAAAACATAAACCCATGAAACACACAAAATTTCCAGGGCAAAACAAAGGAAGAGCCGCATGGCAGAGCAACTGACTTACTTTTCTGAGCACAGCCACCCACACACGGCCCTGCTCATCGTGGTATACGCCTGGGCACCAGGCCCATAGTCGGTCAGGAGGAGGAATAGCCTGCATACTGTCCTCTCCCTTGCCACAAAGAATAGTGTGAGGGTGTTTCCTCCAGGTGCACATGCTCAGAAGCTCAGGCAGGGCAAAAAGCAACCATTAGACTAAACCATTGGGACCAGCCACCAAAGGATTATAAACAAAATGAATATAATTATTATTACACATAAACATAACATGATGCTGTATCTGTAACATATTATAGGACAGAGGTATCCAAAGCAATGAGGCAAGACCGCACGGTACAAAAATCCAACAAACTTTAATGCAGACACCCCCCACTCCCAGCAGTGGCTGCTTCCCTTGGAGCCAACCACAGGTGATTCCACCCCCTTCAAGGATAATTCCTTTCAGATTCCTTACCCACTGCAAACCCAGCTATTCCCAGGGAGGAAGCATTCTAAAATATAAAATACCTTGCTATACTGCATGGGTAGCAATAGTTAATCATTGTAATTGTTTTAAATGTTGTCATGAAGAGGGTGACAAGATTTAATATATTCTATGCATGTGTTCTTAGCCTTTTCTTTAAATGTATCTTTTAGACAAAGCTAGTTGAAATGCTAGAGCTGTGCATTTCCACCCCGTCTCTTTAAATTTGGGACTTTGCTCCCAGATCAGCAGCACAGCTTTGGGGAGAAGGAAACATGCATTGCGTTGCTGGGGTTTGAGTTACCTGTAATGTAGTTGCCAGCCAATGGGAGCTGTGGGGGCAGTGTGTAGAGTCCCCTGGCTGCCCCTACGCATAGGAGGCAGAGAGGGGACATGCTGCTGCTGCTTCTGGGAGCCGTGCAGAGCCCTGGTATGCACAGAGTGGGGCAAACCCCCAACCCTGCTCCCCGGCTGGAGCTCAAGGGCTGGATTAAAATGTCTGAAGGGCCAGATGTGGCCCCTGGGCTGTAGTTTTCCCACCCCTGCTGTAGTGGTGAGCTATGTTTTCTTCATCCTTACCGCTATTGAAACCCTTTGAAGTTAAAACTTAATTGTAACCATTCGTAGCGATGGCATAAAGTTTGAAGAGCAATCTCAAGACTAATAGCCACAGACACGTGGCTTGTGTGAAACTGAGTTTGTTGGTCTGAGCAAAAAACTCTGGCACACAGTTGTACAGCATATGATTGTAAAGATGAATACATTCAGATTGAGTTTAGTACCCTGGAAAAATGGTTATTGCATAAAGTGAAAACTAACAAAAAGTAAAGAGTTGTATTTTGTTTAGAACTGAAGCTGAGTAAAGCTTCTAGGAAATATGTTGTGATCTTTCAAGGCAACTAATTTAGGCCCTGATCCTGCAAAGGAATTCTGCAGTTGCATGGAGTCTCCCTGATGTTAATAGGGCTCTGTGGGGGCATGGTTCAGCTTGCTGGATCAGGACCCTAAACAGTAACTTTCACAAATGTTTTCTCCACCATTATACAAATGTCTGCGTGTTTAATATGTTTGTATGGAGACTAGTCAGGTTACCTAGAATTTGTACTGTTGTGTTTAACCAAACAAAGTTGTTCTTTGCTGCTGGGGTTTGAGCTCCCTGATGTGTGTTTTGAATTTGCTAGTGTGTTAATAAAGTGTACCTGATTAAACAACATGCTGGTGGCTGCTGTGTAACTGTGCCACCAACTGTGGGATAAGTAACCACCATGGAGTGCTACTGCAATACCTAACTGCTGGTAATGTACACAGAGCATTGGCATGCTTGAAACAGGTTGGCTGTTTACAGCCATTTATGATAGCACAGTCTGATTTACTCAATTTTCTAGGATAGATGCAACCAAAGAGAGGTCATCTGGCTGTTTCTTTCTCTGCCATGGCCTCAGTGCTTGAACTACAGTTGCTACTCTTACTTTCTTCTATGACACTTTAATCCCAGTTTTCAAGTGTAATAGCTTTAACTCTTAGGACAATATCATATTCCAAGTGGTTACTCAATGAGGGAAAAAAGAGTGAGGTTTTGGGATGAGTTAATTCTGACCCAATCTGCTGCCTTATAATAATACTTACGCTGTGTATCTCAAAGCACTTTGGAAAGAAAATCAATATCATTACCCCTATTTTACTGATGGGGAAACTGAGGCACAGAGAGCAATCATTTGCCCAAGCTCATCTAACAGGCTAGTGTCAAAGCTGTGAATAGAGCCCCGGTCTCTTGAGTCCTCATGCAGTGCTCTAGCCACTAGATCACAGTGCTTCCCTAGCCTATGTTCTTCTGATGACTAGCCTCTATCTACTGTTCAGTTCTGTCTGCTCCTTCAGCCTGGGCACCAGGAGGAGGGAGGGAGGTTTCTCTGAGATTGGGCAGACTGGCAGGCAGAGAGCAGCACAAAGACAAGTGGCAGGGAGATATGGTACTCAGATAGGGGTAAGGGAAGGGACTTGGTGAGAACAAGATGTATATAGTCATAAAATTATTATGCCTTTGTTTTCTGTGTAACTCACCTTCAGACTTATAAGGACTTGGCCTGCTTGAGGAGACAGGAGATGTATCATTCTCATAATTGCTCTAGCCCAGAGGTATCAAACTCATTGGGTACAAGGGGTCGAATTCCATGTTAAATTATGGGTCAGGGTATAAATTTAGGAGTTCATATGCTCCAGCACAGAGGTTCACAGAGAGATCAACACAGTGGAAAATATGCTGCCCTGTAAGGTCACTGCTATCTCTGTTCTTCTCTTCTTTCCTTCTTCCATCCTCCTTTCATTCTCTAAAAAAGAAAAGGAGTACTTGTGGCACCTTAGAGACTAACCAATTTATTTGATCATAAGCTTTCGTGAGCTACAGCTCACTTCATCAGATGCATACTGTGGAAACTGCAGAAGACATTATATACACAGAGACCATGAAACAATACCTCCTCCCACGCCTCGTCCCCTAATGCCCCTACTCTACTTGCGCTATATTGATGACATCTTCATCATCTGGACCCATGGAAAAGAAGCCCTTGAGGAATTCCACCATGATTTCAACAATTTCCATCCCACCATCAACCTCAGCCTGGTCCAGTCCACACAAGAGATTCACTTTCTGGACACTACAGTGCTAATAAACGATGGTCACATAAACACCACCCTATACCAGAAACCTACTGACCGCTATTCCTACCTACATGCCTCCAGCTTTCACCCTGACCACACCACACGATCCATTGTTTACAGCCAAGCTCTGCGATACAACCGCATTTGCTCCAACCCCTCAGACAGAGACAAACACATACAAGATCTCTATTAAGCATTCTTACAACTACAATACCCACCTGCGGAAGTGAAGAAACAGATTGATAGAGCCAGAAGAGTTCCCAGAAGTCACCTACTACAGGACAGGCCTAACAAAGAAAATAACAGAACGCCACTAGCCGTCACCTTCAGCCCCCAACTAAAACCCCTCCAACGCATTATTAAGGATCTACAACCTATCCTGAAGGATGACCCAACACTCTCACAAATCTTGGGAGACAGGCCAGTCCTTGCCTACAGACAGCCCCCCAACCTGAAGCAAATACTCACCAACAACCACATACCACACAACAGAACCACTAACCCAGGAACCTATCCTTGCAACAAAGCCCGTTGCCAACTGTGCCCACATATCTATTCAGGGGACACCATCACAGGGCCTAATAACATCAGCCACACTATCAGAGGCTCGTTCACCTGCACATCAACCAATGTGATATATGCCATCATGTGCCAGCAATGCCCCTCTGCCATGTACATTGGTCAAACTGGACAGTCTCTACGTAAAAGAATAAATGAACACAAATCAGATGTCAAGAATTATAACATTCATAACCAGTCGGAGAACACTTCAATCTCTCTGGCCACGCAATTACAGACATGAAGGTCGCTGTCTTAAAACAAAAAAACTTCAAATCCAGACTCCAGCGAGAAACTGCTGAATTGGAATTCATTTGCAAATTGGATACTATTAATTTAGGCTTAAATACAGACTGGGAGTGGCTAAGTCATTATGCAAGGTAACCTATTTCCCCTTGTTTTTTCCTACCCCCCCTGACGTTCTGGTTAAACTTGGATTTATGCTGGAAATGGCCCACCTTGATTATCATACACATTGTAAGGAGAGTGGTCAGTTTGGATGAGCTATTACCAGCAGGAGAGTGAGTTTGTGTGTGTGGGGGGTGGTGGTGAGAAAACCTGGATTTGTGCTGGAAATGGCCCACCTTGATTTTCATACACATTGTAAGGAGAGTGATCACTTTAGATAAGCTATTACCAGCAGGAGAGTGGGGTGGGAGGAGGTATTGTTTCATGGTCTCTGTGTATATAATGTCTTCTGCAGTTTCCACAGTATGCATCCAATGAAGTGAGCTGTAGCTCACGAAAGCTTATGCTCAAATAAATTGGTTAGTCTCTAAGGTGCCACAAGTACTCCTTTTCTTTTTGCGAATACAGACTAACACGGCTGTTACTCTGAAACCTTCCGTTCTCTGTTGCTCTCCCAACTTCTTTCGCTGTTCTTTTCACTGCATTTCCTTCTCTGAAGCAGCTTGTAATTGCCAGTGGGCCGTGCTCCTAACCTCTTCCGTATTGCACCTGGTAAACTGATCATCACTGACATGGTTAATGTTAGCACTGAAATATCATCAGGGAATTTAGCCCTGATGTCCCAATGAAATTAATAGGGCACGGGGGAGTTCACACTGCTGTCACAGTTTCAGACTGTCTGCACATTCAGGCAGACATCACTGCATCAGTTATGGAGCTCAGTTCACATTTGGGAGCTTTTCTTTGCAACTAGGAAGATTAGAAACTTACCTTTTTATAAAATGAAATGAAAGCAGAGATTCTAGGCACTCAGACTATGTCCTGGAGGCCACATAAACATATCAAGTGGGCCAGATGTGGCCAACCATGGTGAAGGCAGATAGAGAGAAGGACACACTGTACTTTTTTCTCGGAACTTGACTTTTCTTTTTTGTTGGTTTCTTCACTGTAACCCTAAAAGTAATTCAGGGGGGAGAGTGGAAAGGGGAGGAAACTACTAGAGATCGGCGAAA